CTGATCCCCCTATGATTATCACATGAGGACTTGTCTCCCTTCTTGAATATCGGTATAATAAGTGACTTACCCAAGTCTGATGGAACCGTCTCTGATTCCCAGACGTTACCTAGTACCTTAGTTAATCTACATACTAGTATGTCACCCCCATATTTAAACACCTCCGGAATAATTCCGTCAGGTCCTACCGCTTTGCCTCATTTCAAATTACAGATAGCACTTTTAAAACTTATAGAAATAATTTTTATTAGCAATATAAAATGGTACATGCTTTTGAAAAGTTTCGAAAAGCATATCATCTCTTGTAGGTAGTATTGGCAATGAAAACACCAAATAATACGACTAAAATAAATTAGTCGGTGTAAACCATTTTCATACAGGGCTGTTAGTAACTGACTCCTGATGTGGATTTCATGTACTAAGTTTCTGTTCGCTACTTGTCATAGTGTAGCGTAACGCATTACACCATTTTTAAGTTCTAACGTAGTTATGTATATGTCTACGTATATCTGTTTAAAATGTTGGTTCAGTCGGCTTAAGTGAATCTTCCTGAACGTTCGCTCGTAAATGTTGCAGAGAGGACTTCTTTGAAATGTTTAACTCGCGTTTTACGTACCTTTATCAGAAAGCCTGTGATTTATTAAATAATACAGATTATACAGTAGCACGTTCATGGCTGGTTGCTACCTGTGATCGATGACTTCTACTACGCCTACGTCGCCCTGATCAACCAGGTAGCATGACACGTCCACACAAATTGTGGTACAGTTTGAATCCTGGAAACTTGTAAGATAAGCCGGTTGAGTGACTATGGAAGTCACCACTCTTAATTTAGCCGTTTTGCAGATTCTGACTTAATGTTCACCGAATAAAAGTTACCAGGAACTAGATATATTTCACAGCTATTTTATTTATTTTATCAAATGAGCTACACAGTTGAACACCTCTATTAATTGGTTAGGTTGCGCTTTTGGTACGCCACTTACAAAAAGCAATTTACGTCACTCAGCTATGGTGAAATAGTTTTGCCACAATTAAATTTCTGCTTAGGATTCATCTCGCATCCTGGAAATAATTATTCCCTCTGTGATTCAGTTCTGTGTCAGTGCTTAACTTCGTTTTTAGCTGTCGCTTACATTAGGTACACCATCACTGTCTTAGGTTGTGAGAGGTAGCAGTTTGAATGTGTAAACTCTTTTGGAGGTAACTGATGTGTTTTCCTTTTGTGATAATTCAGCCGGTCTAAGTAAGCAGTTTCCGAGATAATTTAGTCGTTACCAAGCCGTATCATAATCACTATATACGACCGAAAAAATAAGTCTGTTGACTGTGTACTGTGATATTATGTGATCTGCACCAAAAATAAAATATAGTAACGTTGGGTGTTTTGCATAAGTGACTATCATCGACTTTAGCGAAGAAGGGATTGACTTCGTACTACAGAACACGCTTTCGATATAAAGTATGTGGGTGGTCTAGTAAGTCTACATAGAGACTGACAAAATGCAGTCTTCTGAACATGGTGAGCAGGAATCTTAGTATGTTAGCTTTTCGACTCTCCCCTGCTAAATGTAAGATGATACTTCAACGCTGGTCTTCGCTGACTAACTAATAAATTAAAGATAGAAAGTGAAACGGTTGAGTGTGTTGACCGTTTCACTTATTCAGGAAGTTGCATGCGCCTTAATGGATTGTTGACGAAATCTCATCATAGATACAAAGAGGACGACTCATCATTAAGAAGCCTAGCATAACTTCTAAGTAGTGGTTAAGACTGTTGATAGCCTGAAACCAAAGGTTACTGAATTTCCATGTACTTCCGCTGTTATACCCGAACTGATAGATTCAAGAGGGCTGATTCCTACTTTTTGAATTCGGGAGTCTGTCGGTGTCATGCCTAAAGAGCTTTCGCAAAGGCACGGGCATAATTTTTCTTTCAGATTATGAAAAACTTCACTAATCATCTAGAACTTAGGCGAGTTGATGCGAAATTCGATGTTAATAATTCATTTCAATTCACTGCAAAAATATGTTATTATTGCAGACGAGAAATAATTAACATGCGTAGCGACAATCTAGCGATTTCTATTTGCGTTATCAAAATTGACAGAACTCTCCATAAACACATTCAACGACAGAAACCAGCATTCACTTTAGCACGCCGATGCCTTGATCGTATGCTTGTCTCTCGCCGACTCCTTGAACGTCCTCATAAATATTGAAGGCGAAGAATTGTTATTTCTTGATGTTGGAGCCAGCATTGACTCGATAGACCTAACTACCATTAGGAAATGTATCTTGAAGAAGTGTATCAATCACTGTGAAGTCTGCCAACATCTCTAAAGAGCTATTTGAAACGCCTTGGAAATGGAGGGGGAGAGAGTGAGAGAGAGAGAGAACATCCAGTGACTTTGCAGAACCAGATATAGTGTTTACTCAAGTTTGCTAGCCTCGACATTTTGAAGGCTAGCTACTCTGAAGATATGCTAAATGAAGGAATCCCTACTATTCAGCGATATTTTCTCATTTCACACTGACAATGCACAAAGTAACTTGGAAGATTGGCGACAGTCTGAGTGAGATATTACTCACGTAGGTAGAGGCACTACAGGAAGTAGTCAAATATTTCATGTATTCAAGAGGTAGTGTAGGTATGACAGTTGAGATTATCCGGTGTATATCGAAATCCGAAATGGCATGTGTCAAATAAAATAGTCTCCAAGATTACGATGTGAATGTGGTTATCGAAGGTCGACTTTCGAAAGGGTTGGTGTATGCAGTTTCTCTCCGTACTGGCAAAATCTGACACCTTCTCCAGTCCCTGAAAATCTTTAATATTTGTCGAATTATCTACCCCCTTATCCAAATGTTAATCAATTGAAGTATCACTAAGTTTCTGTGTTCTTTTCTCACCTGCTCTACACAAGTTTGATAACTTAGAATGATGCAGCTGTATGAAAGCTTTTACACCGATGCGTCAGTCAGTGGTAGTCAAACAAGACTGGCTGAGTTTCCAAGGTAGAACTCTGCATAGAAGCTCAGCAGTTTAAGTTTCAATACTTCACAGAAGTACACAAACGTCGAAGAGGGACGCAAAGGAAATATAATAAGCGAAAGGGTAGGCAAGAACTAAGTCGATGCAGTTCATACAGTGGAAGCATGTGCACCCTTGTGAACAACTTTGAGCCATGTTAAGAATAGTCTGCAACCATTATTTCTTAGCGTTTCCACGACACAAACCCGGCAGTTGACATCCAACTAACAGTCAAGGACTTCAGCGATTGAGGCCAGATTTTGATTTCATCACACCTAGCCTTCTCCAACCTAATCCTATGCGAAATACTGTATAATGCTGTGAAATCAAAGGACACCATGATTTCACTCTCATCTACTTGAATGTTCTTGATTTGCTGGAAGACTGTGGTTATCACTTAGCAGTACCAATAAATTTACAGACTGCCAATTTTTTCCTATCTTCTACAAAGTGTTTTGTGGTCACCACATAACATCATTTTTTCTGAATTATTAATGCGAGGTGTTACACTTACGGTTATCAGTTCTAACACCTATCACTGTAATTATGGACTTAGCCAGTCACGGCGAAATCCGTGTCATAATATATACAGTGTAGTAAACTGATTATAAATATATCTATTCGGCTGACTGGTTGAGTAAAATATATCTATTCTGTCATCCGCTGCTTTCGATTTCTTGCTTCGTAAAAAGTATTAGCCTCTCTCAGGTATGTATTTTTCAGGGAATATTCATTGGAAATGGTTTCTTTGCTATCAAATGCACCTTCCCTGTATAACCTGTCTTATATTTTATTCTCTTTATCTCAAACAAATGATTACTTTTATGTATTGTAGGTTGTATTCACGTGTTTAAAACGTTTTCTCTAAGGGGATCGTTCAGAGTCCGTGATACCAGTCGATTTTTTTTGTGAATATGCCTATTCGTAAGGAGACTACTCGTCACCATCTCAGGGAAATAACACATAAGGAGAGAATTCAAAAAGCTAAAGAACGTAGAATCAAACGTAAACAAAGGAAGGAAAGTGGTACACCTGCGGGAATTCCTCAAACTCTTGAATCACTTCGAACGGTGGATGAAACTATTGTTCCAAAGAATGATGACGAAGTGATAATCGAACATGAAACAGTATGTTTCAATAAATAATACATCGTTTTGGTTTAATCTAGGATGAGCTTTCACCTATTTTCAATGGAGAAGTAACTCCGAAAATTTTACTAACTTATTCTGATCGTGTTTGTCCTAGAACTATTGGATTTTGTAAAGAACTTAGCAAGGTAAGTGTTTGTATCTGAATAAAAATTAATCTGATGACATCTCTTACAAAAACATATTGATCACTGTTGAGTGTTTAAGGGAAATATTTTGACTATATTTATGTACAAACTGCTTCTTAGGATATATGAGCAATATAGGTGCAAAGTATTGAAAAAGCATCAGGAAAGGTGATACATGGAAGTCACAATCAGAAAATATTACAAACGGTTGCAAGTTAGTTAAACAGTGTAGCAAAGTGAATTGGGTAGTGAATAAAGGTACTGAATACTGTAAGGTTCTAGAGTTGTATTCATGAAAAACGGTTTCAACCATTAATCTAGATACAGAAAATAAAGAATAATCTATGATTGAAATAAAAATATCTGGAAGATTTCAGTGTTGCGAAAACCCCTATTTGCACATTTAAAAGGTAACAAATTAAAGGAATATTTACTCTTCAGTTAGAATGTGACTGAACGAGTTTTACCTCAACACGTATATTTAGACTTTTCAGGTGAATCCCAATGTTATCTGTTATTAGTAGTAGTGTGATTAATCATTTGTTCTTATATGTCAACATATAAATTATGTAGTGTGTAACCGTCTGTTTTGACCGACTGACTGACTGACTAGTTTCAACATAGAACTTTGCACCGATATGCAGCAGTTCGAGTTGCCATACTCCATGTAGCACACGAAGTAAGAGAAGAAAGTAAAATAGAGGCAGTAAACAGAGATATGAGGCGAAAGGAATAATCATATCGCAGAACAACATAGTTTTATTGGGAATTATAAGTCACAAGGACTGGATGCATCTGGATGCCAGTCACTGAGAACGATTTTGAGCCATATCATCAATTGTCTCCAGCCATTGGTTTCTACCGTCCTGAGGACCTCAACCAGGAAGTCTACACCTTCCTACGTGGCTTAAACTAACTGTTGTGGATTTCATTGACTGATGTAGCTATGTTTTGGTTTGACCACCACTGGCTCTTTTCCAACCTGATCCATCCTATGTTAGCCAGCATTGTCCGTCGAGGAAAATGATGGCTAGGTGTGCGTAGCACATGTCATAACCATCTCAGTCGATGTAACCTAACAGCCTCGTCTATTGATTTCTCCTCCTTACCTAGCACTTGACGCCTAACCTCAATATTGCCTACCCTATTATATTAACTAACACGGGAGATAGAACGCAGTCAGCTATGGTCAAAGACAGCTAGGCTTTTCGTAACTTCCGCTTTCAATGTCCATGTCTCATTGCCATAAAGGAGGACAGAGTGGACTGCTGAGCAGTACACACGCCCCTTGGTCGACAGCCAGCCGGATATCACGTTTACGCCAGAGATGGCGCAAGTTGGCATATGCGAAACAGGCCTTCTGTATCCACTCTGAGATTTCGTCAGTGGTCAACCCATTAGAGCTGATGCAACTCCCCATATAAGTGAAGTGGTCAACACGCTCAACCACCACTTCACTCCTTATTTCCAAGCTAGAAGTCAATGTAATCCTCCAGTCCTGTCGCATCATCTAACATTTGGCGGCAGCGAATCGCACGCCAAGCATTGGAAGATTGCAGCTCAAGGTGCCCAGAAGACTGCATTTTTTCACCGTCTTCACCCAGATGGGAGGATTATATCATCTGCATATTCTAAGTCAACGAGATTATTCCCTGGTAACAAATCAATATGTGAGTCACTGGAGTCAGCAGTTAGGGTTAATTCCATAAGTACATCTATGATGAAATTGAATAGAAATGGGGACAGTAGGCATCCCTGACGGACACCACTAGTTGTCACCAGTTAAGATGACAACTCGCCATAAGCTCTCACCTGGCTCTATGGGTTCGAGTAGAGCAGAGTGCCTTGATTAGTGCAATGTATTTTCTCGGCATCCCCTTTACAGTCAATTATCGTTAGAGTATCTCTCCGTCGACAGAATCGAATGCCACCTTTAGGTCAAGAAACATGACGATTGTTTGACACTGGTAAGTATGCCAATGTTCCAAAATCTGTCGAAGGGTGAAGATACGATCAATGCACCATCTCCCTGGTCTAAAGCCCGCCTGGTTCCCTCGTGTTTGTTCCTCCCGTGGACCGCTTAGTCTACGCATTATTATTGAGCCTAAAACTTTAGATACCATATTAGTCAAGCTAATCCCCCTGTGATTATCACAGGAAGACTTGTCTCCCTTCTTGTATATGGGGATAATCAATGACTTACGCCAACCCAACGGGACTTCCCCTGGTGTTACCAATTGCCGATGCCTTTTCCTTCTCTTTCGCTTTTGTTGCTCACCACTGTTCACGGTCTTTGCGAAGGCTTCTTGTTAGTTTGCGTTTGAGTAGTTTTCTCTCCTCATCATAATCGGAGGTCGCCGAAACTAGTCTTCTTGCATCAATCATTTCGAATGAGGTGGTAGAAATTCAGTGGCTCTTACTACCTTAAGATTTCAGATTATTAACAGCTTTTACAGCTGTGTCTACAGCTAACTGTATGTTGTGCCAGGCTATCTCAGGAGGAGTACTACTGTCGACCTCAGATACCCGTTTCGCTATTTCTTCCTTGAATAGGGACTCAGAGTCTCGATCTAGTTGGAGACGTATTTGCTTCACTGCCAGCAATTTTTTATGTTCGTTTAGTCGTAAGCATAAACCTCTGCGAACCAGGTCGTGATCAGAGTCTATGCACGTGTTCCAGAAGGATCCACAGTCTTCTACTTACCGTTGCCAACGACACCCTATCGCTATATGGTCTACCTGAGTCCAGCGTTGATTTGGTGATGGAGGTCGCCAGGTTACACAATGTCTTTATTTGTGCCTAATGTTAGTGCTGACTAGGAATAGATAATTACCTAAACAAAATTGTAGAAGACGATCACCGTTTTCGGTTCGTTGGCAGGGAACTCCACACGTGCCACCTACATACTTTACAGTCTGCGACAACTTCCCTACTTGGGCATTGAAGTCGTCTGCTAAAACAACTATATCTGGACGGTTTGGTATTTGCAGCAAATTAGACAGTTTCAGGTAGAAGTCATTCTTTAGTTCATGAAAATTGCAGTCTGTTGGGGCGTAAGCGCTGATTACGAAAAGACAACGACGGGTAACATCTTTCCTTTTAACGGACCCATTCAGACGGACCGCACACATACGACTATCTACTGGGATCCAGTCAAGAAGTGATTTCTCAGTCCTAACAATCAACGCTATCCCTACACCTGCGAGTCCTCGCAAACTAGTTGAGTGGTCTCCTGACACCCTTAAAGTGAATTTTGCAGATTCCCCTTGTTGGCCCGGTGAGGATAAGTGAATGACCATACTCGGGTCTTGTATGCGTGTCTCCGACTTACAGCATACATCCACGGCTCGAGATTCCAGAGTTCTTGCTAGTGATGCCTGTTGTCCGATTTAGCAGAGGGTCCTGGCGTCAAATGCTCCTTTAAGAAGTTGGCGACGTAGCTTTTAGAGACTGTCGGGGGGTATTTCTATGGCTCTCCTCGTTAGTCGTGGTCACAGAGTGAAGTGAAGATGACCCACTAGCCTGAAGAATAGTACTGCCTGTATTATTATTATTGTTTCCTTTAATTCCTAGAGGAACATAGGGCTTCAGCCGTGCGTCTCCATTGCGTTCGGTTCTCTGCTAGAGTCTTCACCTGGCTGCAAGTCTGCCCACACGTTTTCATCTCCTCTTCACATGACCTCCTCCAAGTCACCCTTGCACTGACGACCAACTCGCCGCTTCCCTTTCGGGTTCCACTCGAGCAATGGCTTGTCTAGTGATGTCACTTGATGGTTGGTTTCCTCAGAGTATGGCCAGCCAATCCATCTCCATTTCTTCCTGCCTATTTGTTTCACAATCGGTTCCTGGTTGGTTCGCTCCCAAAGATCTCTGTTGCTGATCTTTTCTGACCGGCCATCTGATCTTGAGTATTGAGCGAAGACAACTGTTAATGAAGGTCTGTAGTTTGTTTGAGATGCTCTTTATGACGCGCTGGCCAAGTCTCTGATCCGTATAGTAGCACTGACTGACTTCACATTGGAGTTGAAAATCCGGATTTTATTTTTCATGCTGAGTGCTGTTGACCTCCACACAGACTTGAGAGTAGTGAAAGCTTGTCTTACTTTTCCGATTCTTGCTTTGATATCCTCGTCAGTTCCGCCTGTAGTTGAAACGATGCTTCCCAGGTAGGTAAAGGAGGTTGTTTCTTTCAGGTTCCTCCCATTTATGCTGATTGTTGTCTGTTGTTGTTGCTGTTGGTGGTGTTGCCCAGGAATCTTCATCACCTCTGTTTTCTCTATGTTCACCTGAAGTCCTATCTTTGATGCTTCTTCTGCCAACTTGTTGCTTTTCGCTTTCATATCTTCCAGTTTGTGGGAAATCAGACATATATCAGATCCTCCAAGTTTTTTGTGAGTCCATTTTATGCCTGTTTCCTCATTGCCCACTGTTTGTTGCATTATCCAATCTACTGCAATCAGGAAAATCATTGGCGACAGTAGGCAGCCAGCTTGTCTTACTCCTGTCCTCACTTCGAAGGATTCCGTAAGTTTCCCGTTGTGGATTACTTGGCATGCAGCATTGTCGTACAGCTGTTGGATGAGATGTATAATTGTCGGTGGCACCCGTAGTAGCGAAGTAGTTGCCAAATCACCTCTCGATCGACGCTGTCGAATGCCTTTTCAAAGTCGATGAAGTTGAGATAGAGAGGTGACTGCCATTCCAAGCTTTGTTCAATGATGATTCGTAATGTGGCGATTTGATCAATGCATGACTTGTTCCTCCTGAATCCAGCCTGTTCCGGTCGAAGTTTTTCATCCAGGGCTTGTTTGATTCTCTCCAGGATGATACGGCTTAGTATTTTGCTTGGGATGGACAGGAGCATAATTCCGCGCCAGTTCTTGCATTGATTTAGGTCTCCTTTCTTTGGTAGTTTGAATAAGTATCCTTTCTTCCAATCATCGGGTACTTTGCCTTCTTTCCACACCTTCTCCAATAGTGGCGTCATCAAGTCCGCTGTTGTCTCTGGGTCCATTTTCAATGCTTCTGCTGAGATTTCATCTGGTCCTGCTGCTTTTCCAGCTTTTAGCATCTTGATTGCCTTCAGGACTTCTGATTTCGTCGGGGGTTGGTGTTCACTGGTAGCTCTGTCTCCGTTGTTGGTATTGTTGGGCGCGTTGTCGGTGGTGGTCGATTTAGGAGTCTTTTGAAATGTTCAGCCCAGTGTTTTCTTTGCTTCACTTCTTTGGTGATTGACTTTTCATTGTCATCCTTCACCGGCTTAATTTTTGTCAGACGTCTGCCCGATAGTTGTTTGATAGAGTGTTGCGAGATCTCCTTTGCCTGCAGCTTGTTCTGCTTCACTTGCCATGGCTTCATGATATTTTCTTTTGTCTTCCCTGGCACTTTTCTTTACTCTTTTGTTCAGTGTCTTGTAGCTTGCATTCAACTCCTATCTTTGTTGCTCGTCGGTGCACTGGAGAATCTTTTGTTTCACCATCCCTGTCTCTTCTATTAGTTTCCAAGTGTCCGTAGTGAGCCACTGTTTGTCCTGTCTCTTCTTTCTGCCTAGAACTTCCATGCAGGTTTGACTCGACACTGTTTTCAAGTTGTTCCAGTGCTTTTCGACGCTGACCTCTTCGCCAGTGTTGATTTGTGTCTCGGCTTTGTCCTTTATGCTTGCAGTAAAGATGTCCTTTGTGTCCTGGTCCTTCAGTTTTTGAGTGTTGAACTTGGCTTGTGGCCTATCTGTAGCTCCTGTTTCTCCGAAAGCTTTTAATTTGATTTGCCTTGTCCCTTGTACGAGATAGTTGTCTGAGCCAACGTCTGCTCCTCTTCTTAATTTTGTGTCCAGCAGGCTAAGCCTCCACTTCCTTGAGATTGAGATGAAGTCGATTTGGTTTTTGGTTCGCCCATCTGGTGACACCCATGTAGCCTTGTGGATATCCTCGTGTTTGTATACGCTGCCACCAATCACTAGTTCATTGAAGGCGCAGAAGTCGGCGAAGAGTTCTCCGTTTTCATTCATTTCTCCGAGAGCTTCTCTACCCATGATGAGTTCCCTTCCTGTGTTGTCTAATCCAATCACTAGTACTGTATGTCGTAGGGGAGTAATGTGATGAAGGTGATGTGGGTAAAGCAGAATGATGCTCAGGAAGGCTTCGTATGCTTTTGGAAGTGTATGGGCGGTTGTTACTCCCCGGCTGCCCACACCGTGGAAGTTGATTGAGTCTTCGAGTACCTGAAACAGAAAGAGGGTTAGTGTTGCGTGACCGCAGAGCCCAGGGGACAACTGCTTGAGGCCGGTCACACACGGCCTGTATGAACTGGTTTCTTAGATTGATTCCGCATTAGTAAACTTACCGTCGCTTATGGTAACCGTAGGGGTCGCCTTCATCTAATTCCTCTCTCCAGAGTGGAGAGACAGCATGCTGATCATCTGACGGAAGCACCTTACTGCTTTTACATCCGTTCCCCAGCATAGTTTAAACAAAATTTTTACACAATGCCGGTAACTGCTTTTAGTCTAATCGCTATCCTAACAACATTCCTGGTATGGTAGGACCTGCAGGAACAATAGTTGCAGCCAGTGTAGCTTGTTGGGTCATTGCAATATGCAAGTCCGACCACCACGTCAAGGTAGCAGCTATCGGTCGGGACCTGTTTTAACTCTCACAATTGTCGTACTAATTTTCATGGTTAATTATCACTCCATTGACATGTTGATACTTTCTGTTGTTTAAAACTTTATCACTGCTAGATTGATAAATTATTGCATTAAAAATGCTATCTATACCAAAGTATTTAATTGGAAAGTGAGTAATCATTCACCCAAATCATTATCTTCTACATAAAAATACTTACCCCCATAAGAGTACATCATATTTATTTCACTTAAGACATTGGTCTGAATACCAATTCAGCGTGCTTAGTTAAATGTGTATCGCAAGACATGTGGTCAACACACTTGTGCCACTTGCATCAGCAGTATGAAACCTTAATTTTAGCTATTATTATCATCATTATTATTACTCATAATATTACAATTTTTTTTAAATGTGTAGGTTATTCCAAATGTCCATGTTACTGCGCGTTGGCATTTACCTCTGAAGAAAATCATACCTTTAGCCATTGAACGTGGATTCACATGTTTGTTAATTGTAAACGAAGACCAAAAGAAGGTTAATACTGTAGTTATTAGTCATTTACCTAACGGACCGACGGCTACATTTCGTTTAACTAATGTGCTACTTCGTCGAGAAATGCGTTCCAATCGAAAAAATAAATATATTGAGTCTAATGTTATACCTCACTTGATTACTACACGTTTCATGACACGTCTTGGTCTTCGTACTGAACGTATTTTAAGCGGAATGTTCCCAGATATAAGTCGCCAACCACCAGAACCACACAGTAGAACAATTGTTTTTCACAATCAAAGAGATTACATCTTTTTCCGTCACTACCGTTATATTCATCAAAATACTGGTGTTAACGAGGATAAAAATGGCGAGAATGAGCATATCGTAATGAATGAAGTTGGACCAAAGTTCACCCTTAAATTACGATCAATTCAGTTAGGCACTTTTGATAGTCAATTCGGCAGCTATGAATGGGTGCGTAAACGAACCGAAGTTGGCAGGAGTCGACGAACATTTGTTTTATAATTGATGAATGGTGTATCTGCTGTAAATATAATTGTAATTTGTGAATGACTTTTGCTTTATAAAAGGTATTATTCAGAGTCTATAAATATACACTGTAAAAATAGATCTTCAGTTATCGATGGTTTTATTAAACCGATATCACTTCATCAGCTTATACACATCATAAGAATAATGACCACCACTAGGATTTCGCCTTAATTCACATTATTTATTGTGGTCACTCGTTTGATAACTTTATTATTTGAGTAGCATTTTCAAAATGACGTTCTTTTCCATATAAGATATTTTTAAACGCAACAATGGTATAGTTGTATTAGGTACGGTATATTGTTCGTAGTCGCTCAGGTAGGTTTATCAGTAGCAAATGATTCTCACTATGCCGTAGAACAATACTATATACTATACAAAAAAAGAAACCATTCAATGGGAACCTCAACCAAATGTAGCGCTGCCGAAACCAAACATTTTCATTGGGCCGTGAAATTCATCCATTTTCCTTTTCTTCACATGTTGTTTTGAGTTATTTCTGTCATCTTTATTTTAGTCAACTGATAGTCACTGTCCGAAATCGTAGTCATCATTCAACACTATTTTAGGTTACTTTCATAAAAATGACCATCAAGTACTCTCACATCATGTATCCCGTTTTGGTTTACCCTGTAGAACGTTTGCAACTTAATGATGGGCGGATCTTAACCAAAACTGTGTAAGGCCTTTTTGCTGGTGTATCCTGCATGTCGGACTGTCTCATACAAAGTCCCAGAGAAGTGCTTAGTGACTTTTGATTGGTTGCGTCTTGTTCATGCCACCTTTAAGTTTGGAAAATTCCATTTTGTTAGAAAGAAGCGGAAGTCTGACTAAGTTTCCGAATTGTGATGTAGTTTGCGAACTGTTGAATATGGATAAGGGTGTTCCAGAACATAGGACACAGTGATAGAGCTTGCAGTTGAGTTTCTGACAGAACGATTGAATATGGGGATAAAGCAGAAGTCACATTTCTCTTACTGACTGCTTGCAGCCGTGAAGTTGTCTAACATCAATAGACTGGGACTGTTTTTTGATAACAAGATATATATATATATATCCCTCAAAATACTGACGTTCACCAGTCGGTAGTTCATAAAGAACATGACTCCCCAAGGATATAATCCTGTTTACATACTACTCAAGGGTAACAGAACAACAGGAGAGTCGATTGCATGGCGAATTGAAGAGAGGGAAAAAGGTTAAGAAAGAGTGATGCCGGAAAAAACTCTGGTATTTATTGCTCCTCAAAAAGAGATAGGAAAAATTATTCTAAATTGCCAGAAAGAAAAGTGACAAATAATAAGGTGAGGAGATGAATAGTATTCCTTATTCATTTGATGTGTGTACACTAAACAAGTTTTTCATACATTCTCCCACTAATGCCATACTTTCTAGTGTCAAAGGTGTTAATGGGCCCGCTTCCCTGGTTTCAATACAAATGATGTTCTAAAATTTCTCCAGTCGCTGAACCCTTCTTGTAGCCTAGGTCCAGATGGTTTGTGCCTAGCCTTATTCTTAAAAAATGTGCAGATGTCCTGTGTTATCCTCATGGATATATTTAATGAATCTTTTTCCAGAAATGTCGTGCCAGCCGTTTGGAAGGACATTAGAATTGTACCTATACCTAAGTCATCTACTGGAACATGTTTTAAATTTAAACCAATTCCTTATACCTCTCCTTTTCTAAAAACTACGGAAAAGTTACTCTTACTTAATCTTCAACCTTCACTTAAAGCGTTTAACGATCCCAAACAATTATATTACGGAACCTATTGTAGGATGAAGATATGGTAAATACACCTTTACTTGTACTTGAGACCCTCCTGGATCTCACGGATATGTTTCTCTCGAGCCACACCTATGTACTGTATTAGTCAAGTTGATTGCCCTGTAATTGTCACAGAAAGACTTGTCTCTCTCTTTAAAAAATGTGACGATCTGCAGAGTCCAATGGGACTACATGGGATTCCTACACAACACCTAATATCTTAGTTAACCCAGTTAGTAGATCATCAATCCCATCCATGAAACCACTGCAGTCAGAAAATCAAATCCCAACAGTTTATATGAGCGACAACGTTTGCAAGTTCAGTATCAGTTGGAGCACTAATGTCTAAAACCCACGTAGGTAGATGTTGTGTACTCGACAAATATAGCGTGGCTGTAAGTCAGTTAAATTACTTCTCATTGTATTCTCCCCAGCGTTCCAGTCGTCAGATGTGAATAAAGTAGCGTTATTTTCGGACACCCTTCTGCATATCATTGGTGATTTACAATTAATTTCCCAATAAGTCTAAATAAGTGTCCGGTGTTAATCAGCGCCTATGCCTCCTCCATCTCTTTCAATTACCATAGAATAATGAAAGCACGAACATGTTAGAAAATACGTTCATTATTTCTTTCAAGATTGTTGAGGAGAAGAAGAGTCAATCAAAATTTGAGCAACCTACCATCGTCAGATTCGCCGACCAACCAAATCAGCAGTTAATATAAAAGACCGCATGAACAAGCAGCAATATATATAAGTTAAAAAAGAAAACAATTGTCAGCAATCATCCTAACAGTTTCGACGATATCAATAACGACCACAAAACAAGATATCCTCTCAGAATTCCTCAAAATATTTACTTAAAAAAATTCGAATAGAGTGTATGCAACTTCCTAAATAAGTGAAATGGTTAACACACTGAACCGTCTCACTCGCTATCTTTAAACTAGTAGTTAGTCAGCAAAGACCACTCGTGAAGTATCATCTTACATTTGGCAGTGACGGATTTTATGTAGGGAAGCGATTGGCTTTGATATGAGTCCGCATTTAACAAAAATAGTCTATGCGCGCGATTATCTACACGACAGAATTCTAGGTGGGTGGACACATACAAGGACAAGAAGCCGCATTCACTTTAGCACGCCGATGCCTAGATCGTATGCTTGTCTCTCACCGACTCCTTGAACGTCCTCATAAATATTGAAGGCGAAGAATTGTTATTTCTTGATGTTGGAGCCAGCATTGACTCGATAGACCTAACTACCATTAGGAAATGTATCTTGAAGAAGTGTATCAATCACTGCGAAGTCTGCCAACATCTCTAAAGAGCTATTTGAAACGCCTTGGAAATGGAGGGGGAGAGAGTGAGAGTGAGAGAGAGAGAACATCCAGTGACTTTGCAGAACCAGATATAGTGTTTACTCAAGTTTGCTAGCCTCGACATTTTGAAGGCTAGCTACTCTGAAGATATGCTAAATGAAGGAATCCCTACTATTCAGCGATATTTTCTCATTTCACACTGACAATGCACAAAGTAACTTGGAAGATTGGCGACAGCCTGAGTGAGATATTACTCACGTAGGTAGAGGCACTACAGGAAGTAGTCAAATATTTCATGTATTCAAGAGGTAGTGTAGGTATGACAGTTGAGATTATCCGGTGTATATCGAAATCCGAAATGGCATGTGTCAAATAAAATAGTCTCCAAGATTACGATGTGAATGTGGTTATCGAAGGTCGACTTTCGAAAGGGTTGGTGTATGCAGTTTCTCTCCGTACTGGCAAAATCTGACACCTTCTCCAGTCCCTGAAAATCTTTAATATTTGTCGAATTATCTACCCCCTTATCCAAATGTTAATCAATTGAAGTATCACTAAGTTTCTGTGCTCTTTTCTCACCTGCTCTACACAAGTTTGATAACTTAGAATGATGCAGCTGTATGAAAGCTTTTACACCGATGCGTCAGTCAGTGGTAGTCAAACAAGACTGGCTGAGTTTCCAAGGTAGAACTCTGCATAGAAGCTCAGCAGTTTAAGTTTCAATACTTCACAGAAGTACACAAACGTCGAAGAGGGACGCAAAGGAAATATAATAAGCGAAAGGGTAGGCAAGAACTAAGTCGATGCAGTTCATACAGTGGAAGCATGTGCACCCTTGTGAACAACTTTGAGCCATGTTAAGAATAGTCTGCAACCATTATTTCTTAGCGTTTCCACGACACAAACCCGGCAGTTGACATCCAACTAACAGTCAAGGACTTCAGCGATTGAGGCCAGATTTTGATTTCATCACACCTAGCCTTCTCCAACCTAATCCTATACCAAATAACAATTCATGAGGAGGTAGGCGATCGCCTGACATGCGTAACACGTGTCCAAGCCATCTCACTCGATGAAGCTTCATAGACTCATCACCTGACTTCCCCTCCCCACCTAACACTCGACACCTGATCTACCTAAATATAACTCACCGTATTACACCGGTTAAGACGGGAGAAGGGACTCAAACACCTATGGTCAAAACACATATCTTCTCCCGCTCACAACGGTCATGTCTCACAGCCGTTAAAAGGACGGAGTGAATCACTGTGCAGTACATACATCCTTTGATAGATAGACGGAGATCATGTCTATGCCAGAGATGAGACAAGTCGACAAATCCGAAACTAGTCTGTTGTATTCATGATGAGATTTCGTCAACAATCAATCCATTAGAGTGTATGCAACTTCCTAAATAAGTGAAATGGTTAACACACTGAACCGTCTCACTCGCTATCTTTAAACTAGTAGTTAGTCAGCAAAGACCACTCGTGAAGTATCATCTTACATTTGGCAGTGACGGATTTTATGTAGGGAAGCGATTGGCTTTGATATGAGTCCGCATTTAACAAAAATAGTCTATGCGCGCGATTATCTACACGACAGAATTCTAGGTGGGTGGACACATACAAGGACAAGAAGCCGCATTCACTTTAGCACGCCGATGCCTAGATCGTATGCTTGTCTCTCACCGACTCCTTGAACGTCCTCATAAATATTGAAGGCGAAGAATTGTTATTTCTTGATGTTGGAGCCAGCATTGACTCGATAGACCTAACTACCATTAGGAAATGTATCTTGAAGAAGTGTATCAATCACTGCGAAGTCTGCCAACATCTCTAAAGAGCTATTTGAAACGCCTTGGAAATGGAGGGGGAGAGAGTGA